TACGACTTCAGTAAACTACAAAGCCACAAACACACAGCGAAACACACCCACAAACACTCATCACTCCACGCCGACGACGAACGGAACGGAGGAACGGACGGAAAAAAGCGAGCGCGATGTGCCGCTTCTAAACACGACTGAACAACTGAGTCACTGTGAACACGCCGACGATCCATTGGTCAAAAATGTCAAAAATGACCGATAACGACGGATAAAACTGAAATTTCGTTGACCGAGATTAGAATTTCTGTCGAGATGAATGGAAAACTGTGCTTAAAGAGGGGATATTTTTGGAGCTTTCTCCCATGTTTTAACGTTCCATAGTCTAAAAAAAAAACATGTCTGAAGAGGTTTTAGAGACATCCGCGCGTGTTTGAGTAATCTAGCGATCTCTCTGTACGAGATTTCTCCATAAATACGACGACAAACACGAAAATTCCCCATAAATAATACAAAAACGTGACAGAAAACCGCAGTAGTTTCGTTAGAGGGACGCACGGTGATTGTGTTGTGATGGCGCTCTGAAGGGGGAGCGACTTAGCAGCAAAACCGAAACTTATAAAACATGTTAAGCTGTTGTTGCGGGAGATTATAGTGTTTACAAAACAATAAAAAGAGCTAAAAATGTGAGGAACGGAACGGAGGAACGAACCGGAAAAGCAACGAGCGCAACGTGCCGCTTCTAGACACGACTGAACGAACTGAGTCACCGCGAACACGCCGACAATCCAGACACTACTCCCTACACGCCACAACTGAACAAACCCAGAGTCACCGTGAACAAACAAACAAAACCACTCACCCATCACACTGTTGGGTTTCCTTTAAAGTCTCACACGGTTTATTTGTGAAAAAAGTTTGAAAATAGACCATTTAATGACAGTGCGTCTTATAATCCAGAGCGACTAATAGTGCAGAAAATACGGTAAATGTGACTTGTACGTGATTTCCAGTGTGAACTTTAAACACCCCAAAAGTGTCTCATATGGAAGTCAGAAGTCGCCCAAACACGAAGCAGCATTGAGCACCTGGAGATTTTAAAATCGACGTAACGATATCCAAATCTCTCGATACAATATCGTATTTTCATATGAAACACAGAACATTTTAATCGTCAAAACAGTGAAAATGTCAAAATGTGTCGCATAAACGAGTTTCCTTTCACTAAACAAACAGCAAAACTGAAACTGGAACTAAATAAATTTGTAAAATAAACCAAAAAATCCTCTTGGTGATATATCGATACAGCAGCCCACGATATCGATACTGAATCATCACATTAAGCGATACGATATATCAAACATTTTGATATTTTTGCTGCAGTCTGAACGTTGCCTTAGACTGAGATTTTCTCTCAAACTGAAAAACCTTATCCAGCACCTAAAGGTAAAAGGAGCTGTTAACTGAAAAAAAATACAGCTTCATGACATCACAAGGTGGAACAGAGCATTTTGAGTGATGTATTGATACTGGTATTGAATATCAGCGCCGATACTGGATCAGGTATCGGTTCTATGATATCGTTAAAACTGATATCTTGGTTGAAACTCTAATTAGATGTACGTCTCATCATGTTTAAACTTTTCAATCCACTTTATTTCTACAACACATTTTATAAACAGTAAATGCCACACAGACAAATTCATACAATAAAACACAATTAATCATAAAAAAAATAAATAAATAAATAAAAAGTGTTAAAATGCATAAAGCTAAAAATGATTAAAATAAATGAATAATATTTTTTAAAATTACATAAATTAAATGAAATAAAAGGCAGAGAGGACCACATAACTCAGAGACGTGAGACTTTTATTGACACCGAGCGGTTCAGTCGTTATGTGAAGGATAAACAGCAGCTGCACGACACAAGTGGATTTGTTGTGAAATAAAAAACTGGACATAAGTGTCATTTCCCGTTTCTACACTCGTCTCCGTTAATATCGAGTATTGACAGACACTTAAAGACAAAGTATCAGAACTGAAAAAACTGTTTTGGTGAATTCCAAACTCAAACAAAGAATGAGGCAAAACACAATTCAGGGAGTGTTTTTGAGAAGAACAACATTAGAACAGGATTTAAATCTCACAGGAGTCGAGTTTGCGTAACACAGGAGTTTTAAAAATGTCCTGTCAGCTCTGGTGTTTTGAGTGGAGAGTTTTCAGCCAGTTCCTCTGTCAGGGAAACATGAGGTCTGGAGGAACAAATGGAACTGATTCAAAGTCTCCTTTCTGTTCAGGAAATTAAAACTGAAAAACATTTTTCACAAAAGGAGAAATGGGGAGCTGCTGGTGTCCACGTGACGAGGGGTGCTCGTGAAAAAGTAAAATATCAGGCACTCACTTAGTTACTAAATATTTAGAAGCTTTAATTGGGCCTTTTACAGAGTGTGAAAACAGTTTTATTTTAATGAGAAAAAAACTCAATCACCTTCTCACCTAGTCCCGGTGAACACGTGTCCTGTGAACACTTGTCCTGTGAACATTTGTCCCATTGAGCACGTGTTGTAGTGAACACTTGTTGTAGTGAACACGTGTTGTAGTGAACACGTGTTGTAGTGAACACATGTTGTAGTGAACACATGTTGTAGTGAACACTTGTTGTAGTGAACACGTGTTGTAGTGAACACATGTTGTAGTGAACACTTGTTGTAGTGAACATGTTTGTAGTGAACACTGTGTTGTAGTGAACACTTGTTGTAGTGAACACATGTTGTAGTGAACACATGTTGTAGTGAACACATGTTGTAGTGAACATGTTGTAGTGAACACTTGTTGTAACACATGTTGAGTGAACACATGTTGTAGTGAACACTTGTTGTAGTGAACACATGTTGTAGTGAACACTTGTTGTAGTGAACACATGTTGTAGTGAACATGTGTAGTGAACACGTGTTGTAGTGAACACATGTTGTAGTGAACACTTGTTGTAGTGAAACACTGTTGTAGTGAACACATGTTGTAGTGAACACATGTTGTAGTGAACACTTGTTGTAGTGAACACATGTTGTAGTGAACACATGTTGTAGTGAACACTTGTTGTAGTGAACACATGTTGTAGTGAACACTTGTTGTAGTGAACACATGTTGTAGTGAACACGTGTTGTAGTGAACACATGTTGTAGTGAACACATGTTGTAGTGAACACATGTTGTAGTGAACATGTTGTAGTGAACACATGTTGTAGTGAACACTGTTTGTAGTGAACACTTGTTGTAGTGAACACTTGTAGTGTAGTGAACACATGTTGTAGTGAACACATGTTGTAGTGAACACTGTGTTGTAGTGAACACTTGTTGTAGTGAACACATGTTGTAGTGAACACGTTGTAGTGAACACATGTGTAGTGAACACGTTGTAGTGACACATGTTGTACACATGTTGTAGTGAACACATGTTGTAGTGAACACATGTGTGAACACTGTTGTAGTGAACACGTTTTGTAGTGAACACTGTTGTAGTGAACACGTTTTGTTGTGAACACATGTTGTAGTGAACACGTGTAGTGAACACTGTTGTAGTGAACACATGTTGTAGTGAACACATGTTGTAGTGAGTGAACACTTGTTGTAGTGAACACATGTGTAGTGAACACATGTTGTAGTGAACACATGTTGTAGTGAACACATGTTGTAGTGAACACATGTTGTAGTGAACACATGTTGTAGTGAACACATGTTGTAGTGAACACGTGTAGTGAACTGTTGAACACGTGTGTGAACATGAGTGAACACGTTGTTGTAGTGAACACATGTTGTAGTGAACACATGTTTGTAGTGAAACACGTTGTAGTGAACACATGTTGTAGTGAACACATGTTGTAGTGAACACATGTTGTAGTGAACACATGTTGTAGTGAACACTTGTAGTGAACACTTGTTGTAGTGAACACATGTTGTAGTGAACACGTTTTGTAGTGAACACTTGTTGTAGTGAACACATGTTGTAGTGAACACGTTTTGTAGTGAACACATGTTGTAGTGAACACTTGTTGTAGTGAACACATGTTGTAGTGAACACATGTTGTGTGAACACTGTGTAGTGAACACGTGTTGTAGTGAACACATGTTGTAGTGAACATGTGTAGTGAACACATGTGTTAGTGAACACATGTTGTAGTGAACACTTGTTGTAGTGAACACATGTTGTAGTGAACACTGTGTAACACATGTTGTAGTGAACACTTGTTGTGAGTGAACACTGTTGTAGTGAACACATTGTTGTAGTGAACACATGTTGTAGTGAACACGTTGTTGTAGTGACACATGTTGTAGTGAACACATGTTGTAGTGAACACTGTTGGTGAACACATGTGTAAACACTTGTTGTGAACACTGTGTAGTGAACACATGTGTAGTGAACACATGTTGTAGTGAACACGTTGTAGTGTGTGTAGTGAACACATGTTGTAGTGAACACTTGTTGTAGTGAACAGTTGTAGTGAACACATGTTGGTGAACACATGTCCTGGTGAACACATGTTGTAGTGAACACTTGTTGTAGTGAACACATGTTGTAGTGAACACATGTTGTAGTGAACACATGTTGTAGTGAACACATGTTGTAGTGAACACTTGTTGTAGTGAACACATGTTGTAGTGAACACGTGTCCTGGTGAACACTTGTCTTGGTGAACACGTGTGCTGGTGAACATTTTTCCTGGTGAACACGTGTCCCGGTGAACACGT